TTTTTTTAGTATTACAAATAGGTACTGTATCATTTTTTCTTCAAGGTATTATCACTTTTTCTTTCTTTTAGATTATGCCTTTAGGATAAACTTCCGGGACTGGGATTACAAAGTCAAAGTTTATTTTTATGACTACATATTTTGTCACTCTGGGAAGATTTAGTAAAACAACTGAAAGTGAGTCAAACAAATCAAGTGGCCTCCTGCTCTCTCTTCCCAGCAAATCTTCCCCAAACTAGTTACCTGAATTTGAGAAACAGTCTCAGGTTTTGCCTTTTTGGGACACTCCTATTTGAGCCAGGTTTATGCTATACAGAACTTTTTAAAAATAATTTGGCAAGATCATAACTACTTATCTTTGAGGAAACTGAAGTGTATTTCTTGGCAAAGAATGAACTGGTCTCAGGTGGGATGGAAGGCAGATAAGCCTTAATGAAGGGAAAGGTGATGTCGTGCTGGAGACCTTGAGAGCATGTCTCTGGCTTATTTTAGTATCTGGGAAAGCCTTGAAATTATGAAATATTGTAGATGTTTGTCACAGAACCTTCTCGCCTAGTTTGGTTCAATAGACTGCCATTTCCCGCCTCAGTCTTTTCGATACCCTGGCTACTGTAAAGTTGGGAAATTTAAATTAAGTGGCACTGATGAATGCTCAAAGAACTTGTTTCCTCTCTGCTGGTGTACGGACCTTATGAATGAGGCTTCGAGTTTCCAAGGTATTTGTTGCATGGGTTAAATGATGGTTTCAAAGGTCAAATGGAGAAGACATTTTTCCTTTAAACAAACCCCCGTGATTAGCTAGAGTTGTTCAATCTTCTGCTGATTGCCTTCCGGTGGCGCCAAGTACCTTGGGTCTTTTCTTATTTTGGAGGTTTCCATTGGGTGCCGGAGTGTTCGCCCTTTAACCTCGCGCCAGGATTGGTTGATTTCTGGTCTTGGCAGGTGATTGGTTGTCTGAGCCCGCTCGGCGATTGGGTGCTGGGAGCCAGGGGGTGGGAGGCGGGAATTCGTCCCGGGCTGTGTTATTGAGACCGCTGATGAGAGCTAACGCGGAGGAAAGGTACAGTGGCTGCGAGCCCGCAATGCAGGCCGGGGGAGTAGCAGCTCACTGAGGAAGGCACAGAGGATTAAGGCTTGTGTCCTTTCTTCCAGGACTCCGCTTTATTTGCTCTCAGAAATCGGTTTCCTTTTCTTCGGTGTATCGGAGCCCGGTGAGCGTTGCTTGGGTTTCCCTCAGAACAGGCAAGTCTGAGGGAAGTCGAGGGGAAGGGCTTGAAGCCTACCACCAAGGTACTTCTGCCTTCACCCCGGTCGTCTCACCGGCCCGTCGGTTTTGATTGGACCACCTGGGCCTCGGGAATCTCAACTGGCTGTGGGAGGAGGGAAATTTGGGCAGGAAACCGTGGGGAGGAGGGAGTTTCCTTTGAGCAGAGGCCTGTTAGTGCCGGGCGTTACCTCTTGGCGGGAGGCAGATCGGTTTGTTTGTCCTTTATGCAATGTTTGGGGGGGAAAACTACCTCATTTTGAGACGGTTGTTGCCGAAGCTGGGATAGGGGACGGACTGATTTCTAGGTTATATCTGAGTAACTAGGCTAGCGTTGAGTTGATTCAGATTGGATTCCACCGAACCTCATTCTCAGTGCTTTACCAGATAGAACTGCAAAATGCTAGAACTGGAAACTCCCTTAGAATAGTGGTTCTTAACTTCTTTGGGGACACACAAGCTGTGGTTAATGTTATTATTGGCTCCATAATCTATTGAATTGCTGTTTTAACTATCTTCATCCCCAGTTTGGATTTACCATTTTTTAGACTATTGCAAATAATTACTCATTTGATAATGTGTATAATTTTCTCTTCTATTTCCTTAGGATATTTTTACGGGAAGAGAAATCTACGGACTTTTGTCTTCAGAAAAATGCAATGAGGCACAGAAGCTTCTCAGGCAATTTCAAGAAGTCACTGCCTCTGAATTGCATCTATGGATCCTAGATCCTAGGTTATGAAAAGTGGTTTAGAAGAGGGGGATTGAAGTGGTTACCTCCCTCTGTGTCAAATACTGGATTAGACACATTCTGCTCTGGCTAATTTTCATAAAAACTCTTATCAGGTAGGTAGTATTATCCCAATTCCACAGATGAAGTATCAAGTTCTGAGAAGTTAAGTGATTCACACAGTGGAATTCAAACTTAGGTTTGCCTTATTCCAAACCAGTCTTCTTTCCATTATACTTTATTGACCTTTAAATAAAAGTATTGAGCAGCTAATATTTGCCAAGACATTTTCTTTCTTACAACAGTCTTGAAATTAGGGATTGTTACAGGTAAGAATCTTAGACTAGAGAAATAAAAAGACACATCAAAGGTAACATATCTAAGTTCCTGTCAAAACCGGATCTAGAACCTATGCTTCCTGACACCTGGTCCACAGGTTTTTCCTCCTAACTGGAAGACCGCAGAAAGGGGAAACAGGAAGGTGCAGAATAGGTGGAGAAAAAGAGTTGCGCTATGAAGTTGTACAGAGTTGCCTTAGGAACCTGTTTGTTTCTATTAGTTGACTACATCTGATCTAAATTGTTACAAGAGCTCGTGTTTAATCGGCATGTACTGTATATTTGCACATTATTTCATTTAATCTTTACAACAATCCTAGGGGGTAGATGTTACTAGTATCCTTATTTTATAGATGAGGACACTGAGATCTGGAGAAGTTAAGTAACTTGCCCAAAGTCACACAACTAATACATGGTAGAGCAGGGATGCAAATCCACATTTGTTAGACTTGAAGACATGCTTTGACTGCTAATTTATAAGACTAAGAAATTACTTCTATT